CGAGTGAAATACATATTAGTACTGTAGAAGAGAAGTGGAAAGGTAGATCTGCTTGTCAAAAGTATTCTAGTATGTGTTCGTATCACTGCACTGCCGCACTGTGGGAAAACCTGATTGGAGCTAAACTGACGCGCTATCTCCAACAAATGAACATTCTGGACAGGACTTCTCTCTACAGGTAAGCAAACATCCGACCGTCAACGACCTGGACGATTGCTACAACGAATCACCTAAGAAGTATGGTCAAATGGGAGCAGCTTATAATAGGATACTACGTACTAAAGCTGTGCTACAAAATGGTGAGTTGACAACCTGGAAGGAGCGGAATACCTAGCCCTGGTCCTCACAAGTTCCTATTTCACGCCTCCTCAAGTCATATGATAACAAAAGACTACCAGCTGAAACATGGACACAGCTGGGTGGCGTAGCCTGGGCAATATTGCCTGTCCGGCAATAGCAAACTGCAGAGGTGCGACGCGAACACTGGCGCGGTAACCATAGTACGGTGATAGAGGAAATGCTTCACCAAACCTGAGCGTCTGTTCACCATGGAGGTGCGGCTTAAAACGGCGTCTGTTCTCCATGTTAGGAGCGGCTGATCACCGTCCTAGTGCCAGCGTGGGACTCTAAACAGAGCTGTGCACGATGGTCCCCCAGCGAGACACGGGGTTGGGGCAGGCCCAACAAGCCGCCCTGAAAAAAAAACAAATTTGCAAATACTGAAGAAAGAAATACGGATCGGAACAATCGGCACAGACCTACGCGACGAAATAAGGACTACGATTGGAAACTCGGAACATGCAACAACTTCGAAGTCGTAGCACTGCAGGAACTTTGCTGGACGGTATGGAAAAGCGGGCATCGAGCGGCTACTTTCTACCAGAGCTGTGGCACCACCAACGAGCTGGGAATCGGCTTTGTAGTGCTGGGTAAGATGCGGAAACGCGTGATTGGTTGGCAGCCGATCAACGCAAGGATGTGCAAGTTGAGGATTAAGGGCCGTTTCTTCAACTACAGTATCATCAACGTGCACTGCCCACACGAAGGGAGACCCGACGACGAGAAAGAAGTGTTCTACACAGCAAAAAATTAATATTGATATCACATCAAAGTGGATGCACTTCAATCGTGTCAAAAATATGGTGTAATATTACTTGCCAAAAAGGACACAATTATCATTAATACAGTGCATGAACTGAAATTACGCTGCTTTTACTGCATTTGTTTCTTTTTGTGGCCATAAAAATTACATGAGATTTTTAACTTGATTGAAGTGCATCCTCTTGGATGTAATATTAAAATTTATTTTTTGCTGTGTATGCGCAGCTAGAGCAGATGTACGACGGCTGTTCGCAATGGGACGTCAAAATCGTCATCTGCGGCATGAACGCTCAGGTAGGACGGGAGGCAATGTATAGACCGGCAATCGGGTCAAACAGCCTGCATGCCATATCGAACGACAACGGCCAACGATGCGTGAACTTTGCAGCCTCTCGGGGTATGGTAGTTCAAAGTACCTTTTTCTCCCGGAAGGATATCCACAAAGCCACCTGGAGATCACCTGACTAACACACAGAAAACCAAATCGATCACGTTCTAATCGACGGGAAATTCTTCTCCGACATTATCAACGTCCGCACGTACCGCAGTGCGAACATAGATTCCGACCACTACCTAGTTGCAGTATGCTTGCGCTCAAAACTCTCGACGGTGCATAACACCCATCGAAGTCAGACACCGCGACCCAACATTGAGCAAATACGGGACGCCGGAGTTGCCCAGGACTACGCATAGCAGATGTTGCACTACCCACGGAAGAGCAGCTTGGCGCAGCTTCTCTTGAAGATGGCTGGAGGGACATCCGTTCCGCCATAGCTAGTACTGCTGCAGCGGCACTAGGTACTGCAATCCCGGACCGAAGAAATGACTGGTTTGACGGCGAATGCAATCTGTTAGTAGAGGAGAAGAATGTAGCACGGGCGAGAATGCTGCAACACCGCACGAGATTGAATGTGGAGCGATACAGGTATTCCGAAAGAATAAGCGTCAGCAGGAAGACAGAGATCGCGAGGCGATGGAACATCTGTACCGCGTAAACGACACACGGAAGTTCTACGAGAAGCTAAATAGTTCGCGCAAAGGCTACGTGCCACAAGCCGATATGTGCAAGGACTTGGACGGTAACCTTCTCACGAACGAGTGTGAGGTGATTGAGAGGTGGAAACAGTACTATGACGAGCACCTCAACGGTGAAGCAGCAGAAAACGAAGGTGGCACGGCAACAGACCTTGGAGCACGCGCAGAAGACGACACGCTACCGGCCCCTGATCTTCAAGAAATTGAGGAGGAGATCGGTCGGCTGAAGAACAACAAAGCAACTGGTGTAGATCAACTACCAAGTGAGCTATTAAAATACGGTGGTGAAGCACTGGCTAGAGCACTGCACTGGGTAATTGCCAAGATTTGGGAGGTGGAGATATTACCGGAGGAGTGGATGAAAGGTGTCGTATGCCCAATCTACAAAAAGGGCGACAAGTTGGATTGCTGCAACTACCGCGCGATCACACTGCTGAACGCCGCCTACAAGGTACTCTCCCAAATTCTATGCCGCTGTCAGTCACCATTTGCAAGAGAGTTCGTGGGGCAATACCAGGCGGGGTTCATGGGTGCCCGCGCTACCACGGACCAAATTTTCGCGATTCGGCAGGTACTGCAGAAATGCCGCGAATACAACGTGCCCACACATGATTTGTTCATCGATTTCAAATCCGCATACGACACAATCGATCGAGATCAGCTATGGCAGATTATGCATGAGTGCGGACTTCCGGATAAACTGACGCAATTGGTCAAGGCGACGATGGATCGAGTGATGTGCGTTGTTCGAATATCGGGGACACTCTCGAGTCCCTTTGAATCTCGAAGGGGGTTACGGCAGGGTGATGGACTTTCGTGTCTGCTGTTCAACATCGCGTTAGAAGGTGTGATAAGAAGAGCTGGGATAGACACGAGTGGCACGATATTCAGGAAGTCCATCCAGCTCCTTGGCTTCGCCGATGACAGTGACATTATGGCACGGAACTTTGAGATGATGGCGGAAACGTACATCAGACTAAAGGCTGAAGCTAGGCGGATTGGACTTGGCCATCAACGCATCAAAGACAAAATACATTAAAGGAAGAGGTTCTAGGGAAGACAATGTTAGCCTCCCACCCCGAGTTCAGATTGACGGTGACGAAATCGAGGTGTCAGGGGCGACCCCGGCGTAGTGGTTAACATCCTTACCTCTCACGCCAAAGTCACGAGTTCAAATCTCACCCCCTGACAAGTCACAAATGACCCAAGAGTGTTAAAGTGACTATAATAAAAAAAAAGATATCGAGGTGATCGATGAGTTTGTGCATTTGGGCTCACTGGTGACCGCCGAAAATGATACCAGCATAGAAATTCAAAGACGCATTATGGCAGGGAATCGTGCCTACTTTGGACTCCGAAGGACGCTCCGGTCGAATAAAATTCGCCGCCGCACGAAGTTGACTGTCTACAAGACGCTGATTAGACCGGTGGTCCTCTATGGCCACGAGACCTGGACTATGCTCGTGGAGGACCAACGCGCCCTTGGTGTTTTCGAACGGAAGGTGTTGCGTACCATCTACGGTGGAGTGCAGATGGATGACGGAACGTGGAACGAGTTGCACCAGCTGCTGGGAGAACCTTCCATCGTCCACATTGCAAAAATTGGGCGACTACGGTGGGCTGGGCACGTCGTAAGAATGCCGCACGACGACCCAGTGAAAATGGTTCTAGAAAGCGACCCAACAGGAACAAGAAGAAGAGGCGCGCAGCGGGAAAGGTGGATTGACCAAGTAGAAGGTGACCTGCGGACCCTTCGTAGACTACAAGGTTGGCGAACTGTGGCCATGGATAGAGTAGAGTGGAAACGACTTCTTCGGACACAGAGGACAACAAGGCCTTAGCCTGATTGGTAAGGTAACGTACTAAAGCACGTAGAACAGTGCATGTGATGCATTGCGACGGATGGACTGTACACGATCCAACATAATAGCGTCGATATTGCAGCGATGATTGATCGGTGCATAACAGCGGCTAAAAGATATTACTTTGCATTTATTAATGTTCACATATTCCGTTTTCTTTGCACTATCGCGAAAGGACATCGATGTCTACCCGCAAATTATTACAGTCCAATATAGATTTTGTTGTCGACGACAAACAGCAGTTTCTCAGATGGTATGTGTCAGCACAAGCCATTAACGAAAAGGACAATGGGCGTAACACACTCCCCTGAGGAACTTCAAAATGTGGAATGTCCTGGAATCACCAGGACAATTATTATAGTCACTTTAACGCTCTTGGGTCATTCGTAACTTGACCGGGGGTGAGAGATGAACTCGTGAATTTAGCGTGAGAGGTATGGATCTTAATCACTACACCGGGGTCACCACCAGAGTTTGCCTGAATGAATACTTTCCTATCGGTCAAGTATGACATTAGCCAGTTGGCTATCCAATCAGAAAAACCCACATGTCTCAGCTTCACCACCGCAAAGATGTGCGGAACAATATCGAGTCCACCTGAATTGAATTGTACACGTATGAATCATTAATATTATTGATGTTTTCAACTCGACAAAAAACAAATTCGATATTTAAAATTTTAAATTTTTTTGAAAGGATTTGACAAACAAAAATTGGAAATGAAATTTAATATGAATGCTACTATTTCTTTAGAAATAATCTTTAGAGAGTTGTGCAGATAAATTCTAGAATGTTGTGGAGAAAATTTCAGAGGAATTCCTGAAAGAATCCCAAAATTTATAATTGAAGTGTTCTTCTCAAAGAATAAAGAAAGTTTGAGTGCTTCTAACTATACGTTTATTCAGGTTGACATCTACACTTCGAATGACTAATTTTTTCCATCTCGGTCGCAGCTGTAGGTTGCTGCGATTACTTGAATGGAACATCGTGATTACCCCCCTCTTAATTAATCCAGTACTCCTCGAATCTAGCTGGTAAACGAGTCTGCCGGCGTTCCCTTGTTGCTGGCGGAACTGGTACTGGATCTTGCTGTGGTGGATTGTCTGCCTCACTATCATCCGAAAAATACTCCGCCTCATCACTTCCAAGCTCTTCATCAACTGGACCAAGTTCGTCGGGCACTGCAGCCGGTATCGTTGCAGGAACGGATGGTACGTCTAGGCCAAAACCGTCGAAGATGGGCCACGATTCAAGCGTTGTTTTGACTGGTGCTTTTCCAGCAGTGCAGCAGGGAGTGCATTGCCGGACGAAATTCTCGATGTCGTTGTCGATTCCGGGCCAGTAAACGAAACTGCGGGCAATAGACTTCATTCGTACCATGCCGGGATGTCCGCGATGAAACTGCTTCAGGATTTGCCTTCTGAACTTGCTCGGAACGACTACCCTGGCGTGGAACAATACAGCCAATGACGTTGGTGAGAGACTCCCACCTGTTGAAGTAGACTCGAATCTCTGGATCTTCGACTGATTGTGCATCGTTTGGCCAATCCTCACGAATGAACTGCAGCACCGCTTGTAGTGGTTCATCTGCCTGTGTTGCACTTTTGATGTCTGCGAACGAAACTGGTACCTGCTCGATAGTGTTTTGAATAATGCTCACCATGTCTTTTTCTAGGGATATCGCTGCCACAATGTACTCCTCTTCTTGCTGCTTAGAACGGCCGATGAGTCTTGACAGCATATCGGCGCATCCGAAGTCGTTGGTAGACACGTGCCGAATGTCGAAGTCGTAGTTGAGAAGCATCAATGCCCATCGTTGAAGTCGATTTGCGGTGTGCAAAGGTATGCCCTTCTTCGATCCAAAGATTGATAACAGCGGGTTGTGATCCGTGAGCAGAGTGAATCTGCGCCCAACGAGGTACTTGTGAAACTTCGTTACCGCATATATTAGTGCTTCTTTTTCCGGCTGCCCGTAACCTTTCTCCGCTGGGGTGAGGGATCTTGATGCGTGCTGGATTGCCTTCAGATATCCATTCGAAAATTCATGGAAGATGACTGCACCGATGCCCGTGCTGGAGGCGTCCGCTGCTACGATGATTGGTAACTTCGGGTCGTAATGCGTCAGCAACATATCAGACTGCAGGACTTGCTTGAATTGCTCAAAAGACCGTTGGCAATCGGAATTCCACTGCCACTTCGAATCCTTCTTGAGTAATTGGTCGAGAGGATGACGAAGTTCATGGATGTTGCGCACGAATCTGCCGTAGAAATTAACGGCTCCCAGGAACGATCGCACTTCGGAAACATTGGTGGGTGCCGGAATAGAGGCGATGGCTTGAAGCTTCTCTGGATCCGGACAGATACCGTTTCGATCGATGATATGCCCCAAATATCTGATTTCGGTTTGGAAGAAATGGCACTTTTCCAGCTTGTCATGGAACCCATTTTCCTCTAGACGTTGTAGTAGCTTGTCTAGTGACGCCTTGTGTTCCTCCCAGGTTCTTCCGAAGATGATAGCGTCGTCGAGAAACGACCGAACACCAGGAATGTCGGCTATCATGCTGTCAACCAGTCTTTGGAATGTTCCAGGCGCTGACTTCACCCCTGGAGCGAGCCGGTTGAATTGGAAGAGGCCTCGATGCGTGTTTATGGTGAGGAGCTTCTTCGATTCTTCATCTACTTCCACTTGCAGGCATGCATCGGAAAGGTCGATGATGCTGAATATGGTGCTTTCGTTGAGCTGTGCGAAGATCTCCTCCGGGGTAGGTAGAGGATAGTGGTTTGCTTCAAGCGCTTCATTGAGTCCCGTAGAGTAGTCCGCACAGATGCGAACTTTACCATTCGGTTTGCGTACTGCTACAATCGGAGTGGCCCACTCTGAGAAATCGATCGGCGTGATGATTCCCAGAGACTGAAGACGTGTTAATTCTGCATCGACCAGCGGAATCGTGTTGAACGGAACTGGTCGCTTCGAACAGAAAACTGGTTTGGCGTGAGGTTTGAGGAATAAGTTTACCTTGGTTTTCTTGCAGTGTCCCAGCGAGTCGTCGAAAACCGCCGGATGCTCGGCTTGCAGCTGTGCTCTAGCTTCGGCGAAACATGGTCTGGATACAGCAGAAACATGATTGCAGAGAGTATCGAACGGAACCGACCACAGGTTGAACATGTCGATCCAATCAATACCCATTACGTTGAGATCTGGTGATGACGTTACGAAACACTGACGACGTTTGACCATGTCATTGAGGACTGCTTCACAATGGAATTCTCCGATGAGAGCGAGTGGTCCACCAGATGCGTTGGAGGCTTCGATCGATGATGGAGTTAGCTTTGGTTGTCTCAGTTGCTGCCAAGTTTTCTTGGAAATCACCGTGATATCACTTGCAGAATCCAGTTGTAGCGAAGTCATGACACCGTTGATGTTGATGGTCACATACTTGCGTTTCCGGTTGCTGTTTGCGATGTGCTTCACGAAAATTCCCTTGGCTTGAGATCTGGAACCGGCCTTCTTCTGGAACTGCTTCTTCTCTCGAGGTTGAGTTGAAGAGTCGCTTGAAGACTTCTTGATGCAGCTACAGTAGCCTTCTTTATGACCGATGCGGTTACATACCTTGCAGAGATTATCAGAAAATGAACAGTCACGGACGTAGTGCATCTGACCACACTGGAGTACGAGGAGTGGACTTGCTTTCCGTTTTCAGTGGACGATGCTGGTTTCCGGGTTTCTTCTCCGAAATGCTATGGACCGAATTCTTCGTACTTGATGGATGTTCGATCATCGTAGTGTCCGACTTGATGTTGACGAGCCGCTGGAACTCATCGATCAGAGTTTGAATTGTCACCGGAGCATCAGCCGTTTCACCTTCAATCCGGGATAGAAGCCTTGCTCGAATGTCCGCGTACCGTGGTGCTTTTAGACCACAGACGAAAATCAAGCACTTGAAGTGATCAATCTTCAAATTCTGGAGCTCGAACTCTTCACATGCCCTGTTGACTTTTCCGCCATAGGTGATTATGTCGTCAGCCTCGGACTTGAGTAGCTGCATGCACTGGTAGCGTTTGTGGAATACGGAGGTCTGTCTGCCAAAGATCTTTGTGAGTGTCTTGACGGTATCGGCACACGTTACGTCCTTTGGTAGTTTCGGAAGGATGTAGTTGACGTAGCGACTGTTAGAGGGCGTGTCCAACTTCCGGAGCAGAAGCCTAACTTTTGCTGCGTCGTCCAGACTTCGTGCGTCGCTTTCAAACAAATCCGAGTAATGAGCAAACAAATTTTCGAATGTGGTACCGTTCTCCGGATCGAAGCAGAACTCGCTGATGTTCGTCGACAGGGATTCCAAAACTTGCTCTGGGTTCGTTGCTTGTGGAACGGCCAACCGCTGGAGAAGCTGCAAAATCGCTGCTTGGAGTTCTTCGTTTGTCGCCGCCATCCTTCCTCGGTTCGATTCTGGAATTTCTTAAACTTGTGAGCTTCCAGAAAAATCCTCGTCGCCAACTGAAGTGTTCTTCTCAAAGAATAAAGAAAGTTTGAGTGCTTCTAACTATACGTTTATTCAGGTTGACATCTACACTTCGAATGACTAATTTTTTCCATCTCGGTCGCAGCTGTAGGTTGCTGCGATTACTTGAATGGAACATCGTGATTACTTGGATGGAACAATAATTAAAAAAAAAACCCTGTATAATTTTTAGGGAAATTCTCAAAATAAAACAGATTGTAGACATCGGCTTGTAGCTCAATGTTAAACGAAATTTCTCAAAATTTCTTATTAAAACACGTTCAGGTATACAGTTAAATGGAAAATATAGCCAACGGAAAGGTTTGAAACAGTTAAAATTAGAAAATACATGTTTGAAAAATATGAACGGCAATCACATCCCAATGATCGCAAGAGTAATAAGAGTAATTGCTTCATGTAGCATAAATTAAATACAAATAACACACATTTATTTAGTTCTCCTTTATGATTATCAGAAATGGAGTGGCGGTGGAAAAATGTAAAAATTATAATTTGTAAACAAATGTTTAAGGGCTTTGAAAAAAAGCAAAAAAAAAACAATCTTTCAAAAACATTAACACGTCTATTCCAACTCTGAAATCGAAACCTTTCCAGCAAAGGGTATGAGCCAACAAAAATAATTCGAGGAATGGCCACCACGTTAAAACTCCCGTGAAAAAGATGATCAATCTTTTTTATTACTCTATTTCAGGTGGCACCAAGCTCTTAAAAAATAGGCAAAAAACGGCTTCCGCAATCTTCTAATGACGGTGGTACCATAAACAGCAACTTTCTGTGACTCCCTGCCGTGAATAGATCTCATAAAAGAAGCCATCATTTTTCTACTGCTGTAGGTAAACCATAGGCTAATCAAATATTAGATTTTTTTTACCACACAACTCGCCTTAGTCACCGGGGTCGGTTGGCGTTTGCCAAATATCCATCAGCTAATTACACACCCAACTGCTTCTTTGGATACTTTTATTACAAATCTCCCCCTCACTGCCAGTGCTTTGGGCCTGTTCTACTAAGAGGACGACGTGACCAATCAACCGTTCATTACGAAAATGATACATTTATGCAAATTTCGACGCGTCCGGGGATTGGCTCGACCCCCTTTTCTCGTCTACCAAAAGCTGCGCCAGTCAGTCAGTGGTGGAGGAGCAGCATGATATTCAAATTATTATGGCTCTATTTCGTTGCTGGTTGAGAGTTCAAAGAGGCGAAATGGCGCGTGTGTCTCGTGGGAAATCTTCCACATTGCCGTCGGTGAACAAGGGGAGGTTCATCTTTCTCCAAATTAAGGCTCCCCTTGCGAGCCTGCCGGATTGGATTCGATGTCGATCAGCGCAGGAAATTGGTAAAAGGCTAATGAAACAGTTGATTTTTTCCACTTCTTGAAGCTCATCGTCGCTCGGGTCTCTCCTCCTCTTTTGTTCGGGTGTCTCGTTCTGGCTTCGAAACGTCGAATGAAGCTAATCGAAAACGCTTCGAAGACGTTTCATTACGCTAATTGATTTAATTCGTAAGGAGGTGATGTTTGACTTTTAACAGTAACGGTGTCACTTCCGTTCCGAGTAGGTTGGCATGGGCTGATTTTTGTTGTTAAACTATTTTTCAGTATTTTATTTGTATTGAGCTAGGAGTGAGATTTTCCCACGCTTTACAACATTATATTGCAATGAACTTGTGCTTAGAACTGGTTATTATGTCGATACAAAATTAATCTCCGGTTCGGATATTTTGAATCACCCTCTGCGACGTTAATCATCCATGAAAATCATTACACCATTAGCAATAAGATTTATTGCTTCCAGGGGACCTGTTTCGATCAAAATCCATGCAATCCTATTTTCTATCCCACAAAACAAAATCATTAATGCCGAGAAATGTGTAATAATTCTCAAATTATTAGGCCACCTTTCGCTAGAGCAATATATCTACAGCTCGTTATTAACAAAACTACAAAGACTTCTTCGGCGGCCTCTTTGAATCCTGCTGTTACGCATCAAAAACAAGTCTCAGATCCTGACATGATTCTTAATTGTTCCCATACAATGCCTGGCCGACCATCGATGCACGGGCGCAGGTAGCTAATAGTTGTGCCACATTTTCGTTCATCCATTTCAAAAGAACCAGAATGTTTTGACCTGCATGGTGTTCCCTTCGTATTGCACCTTCTCATTGGTTTAAGGGAGGAGATGGATCAATTAAGCCCTCAATAAAAAAAAAACTAAAGAAAAGAAAAGGATACCGAGCAGAGAGAAGAAAACAGCACCTTCTCATTTGGGAGATGCCGACAACGACCGCATTAGTACCAGAACCATTTGGATGCGGGAGTGCTCTGCAGGAACTGTAAAGTGTACATTTATTTGATGAAACATACTAATTAATTGACACCTTTCGGGGTCGGTGATATCGGAAGGCTTTGATGTTGCTTTTGGTTGTTGTTTTTACTTGTTTTATTTTGGGCAGATGAAGGCTACGAGATGTGGTGAGGCAGCGTTAATTTCAACATTAAATATATCCCGGGAAAGTCCGTGTGTTAAACAGTAGCACTTGTAGCTGAAACGTGATAAAAATTCGACTCTTTACACAGCTCAGTACTACAAGGATTTTCTCCGGTGGCAGCCATAAGCTTAGCAAAAATATTCAACTGACTTCCAACTTTAATTACACTTTCGAATCGACTTTGCACTGTGTTTTTTACGCTTTTGAATAATTTTTCTCGGCAAAATTTTAAATAAAATTTGTGTGAACAAAAAGTTTAGAAACTTGACCATAAGTGTATGATCTAAGATTTTTGACAATTTTTAAGTATCCAACTTTCACAAAAATAGCATGTTTATTGTGAGTTTTTATTAAAAATATTCAAGATGTTATTTTTTTCTGTATTTAGGCTTTTGTTCTTTTTTTTTTATCCGAAATAGAAGAAATGTTTTTACCGTGTTTATATTTCCTGTAGAAGATTTATTTTTGTCCTGGATCATTATTTCAGCCTTCATTTCAATTGGAGTGACTTCATTTCATTTTACCTCAAATGTGCCATCTGTTGAGTACACTGTGGTGGGCACTACACTGAACAGATGACGGTAATGTGTAAACGTCAAACGCAAGGGAATAGACTATGCGCGCCACAGGTGGCGGTACTACCAACTACGATACTTTTAAATCGTCCATTAAATGCTTGTTCAATGAACAACTTGTGAGTGTTATGTCTGTTTGTCTGTGGTATTGCTATTCAATGGAAGTATTTGAAGACTCGATTTTTGACAACTCTGAGTGAAACCAAATATACCACATTGGAGGGTATATTCTATAGAGCGTTGCACAAAATTATTCAATCTGCAATTGTTGCTTCCTATCATGTATGAGTGAAATCTCTCGTTTGAAGTCTTTCGCAAATTCTACTATATTGAAAAATTACACCGATCTTTGTAACAGAGCCTATGTAGATGTATTTCGTTGTGCTGGAGCAAATATTTGATGAGAATATACCAAGAATACAGCTGATGAATAACAATAATATTCCCTGTCCAATTTCACTTTTCATACGCAAACTTAATTATAATTATTTAATTATACTGCGTCTGGCTGAAAATCTCCTTAATAAAGACAACCAACCTCAACAATTACATTCAACACCAATCTCAATACTTCCCACGCTTTTCTTCGTGAAGCGCTCGTGTTTAGTTACATTGCTCGATTGGAACCGCGTTTGACGGTTCTATTGGAACTTTTGGCTTCAGTCTTCGCGCGTCTCTTATTTAACATCGTCTCTGAGAAACACAAGTTTTATCGAAAATAGAACAGCAGAATTACACTGGAGTCGCTTTTTACGCGGGTGATATGTCCCGCGTAAAAAAAACCGCGTAAAAAAAAACCGCGTAAATTCCGGAATCCGCGTAAAAAAAAACCGCGTAAATTCCGAAATCCGCGTAAAAAAAACCGAGTAAAAAAAGACCGTGTAAGAAAAAAACGCGTAAAACGCGATATACCGCGTAAATTCTGAAATCCGCGTAAAAAAAACCAAAATCCGCGTAAAAAAAAACCGCGTAAATTCCGGAATCCGCGTAAAAAAAACCGCGTAAATTCCGAAATCCGCGTAAAAAAAAACCGCGTAAAAAAAAACCGTGTAAAAAAAAAACCGCGTAAAAAGCGACTCCAGTGTACGTGGAATTACTTTCTTTATAAAGCAACCTCTTGATGATGTGTGAATTCATCTTCAATACAACAAACCAGTATCTCGTTTTGTCGTGAAAGGATTTTATTTTATTTTGAGCCGTTCAAAAGATTAATGTTTGAAAACGAGGTTTGAAAGGACATTCCAATAAAATAGCGATTTACTTAAATTGATCATACTTCATGCAGACTTAGCCAATTCCTGTGATAAGTTTTTAATATTTGATCAACCAAAATGCAAGATCACCCTAAACTGCTTTACTGGATGGTGCGAACTAAACCGAATGGTATTCATTCCATACTCATTAGTTCCCAACTCACGAAAAAAAACGTGGAAATTTAAATAAATAAATAACCCTTTTAGTTGATGAAATAAGAGAATAAAGATTCAAAAAAATGGATGCATTCTTCGGCAACATGACCATTACAAACAATTATGCAAAGATTCATGCAAACGGGAGAACATGAACTCTGAAATGCATTTATTTGATGGTACTGGTCTTGAAAATGCTTCCAACTGAGCACTTAGAACAACTTCTTCATGTTTTGACGACCAACCAGCCATCCCGGCATGAAGCGCCAATGCTAAGGTGCAGCGATGGTAATTAAGGCTCAAACCGCTTCTCCTAGAGCCTTGAGGCAAACATAAAACTGTCTTTATGCTAAAAAAGGGAGTCAACTTCTACACATTTCATAACGGTAACTCTATCTTACTCGAGCACATGTGGATGCGGATGCGGATGCGGATGCGGATGCGGATGCGGATGCGGATGCGGATGCGGATGCGGATGCGGATGCGGATGCGGATGCGGATGCGGATGCGGATGCGGATGCGGATGCGGATGCGGATGCGGATGCGGATGCGGATGCGGATGCGGATGCGGATGCGGATGCGGATGCGGATGCGGATGCGGATGCGGATGCGGATGTGGATGCGGATGCGGATGCGGATGCGGATGCGGATGCGGATGCGGATGCGGATGTGAATGATGAAATTCAAGTAAGAAACAAATGATCGTGCATTTTTAGAAAAAATATAACAGGTAATAACTTAGGGATGATTGATTAATTATGTCACGCAAATTTGGCCCATTTTCAACCTCCCCCCCCCCTTTGTCACATTTTTTGTATGGACCTTAATTTTGACGTAGGGGGTACAATTTATGAAAAACGAAAAATGAAATTATGAAAGATTTGATCGTTAATAACTTAGCTGCCCCTCGACCAATTTAAATTATTTTATCACCAATCGATCGGAAACATTTCTACGCATCGATAAAAATGCTCTTGACTGTTGATTTTCAAATTGAAACTATTGAAAAAATGGTAAATATCAAGCATTGTCCAAAAGCTTCTAAATAACTAACAAATCTACCAATTAAGTACATGCATGTGCTGCTTTCCCAACACAGTCATCAGAGAATGGTTCCTGGATGAAACAAGTCGAAGTGACATTCGCCTCCGATCTTCGGGTGTGTACGAACAGGGAGGATACAATTGCGGAACATTGTGTTGCCAATTCACAACCACACGCCCCCAACGACCACACAAAATGCTGTTTTTTCCTTGGATTTGTTTTCCGTGCTGAGCACCAATGCTACCCACACCCATGCTTGGCATACACAGTTTTGGTCACGAACTGCTCATTTGCTAATAACTTTACACACAGTTGACGGAACATAGTTCTTTTTGAAGCAGTAGATAGAATAGTGTGTAAGCTTGTTATAGATATGTAAAATAAAGTAGATTTTAATGCAAATAGTAAACTGTATTTGTTTTTGCGTTGTAAAAATGAGGTGAGAAATGCTCATTACACACAGTGGGCAACTGTGCATGCCCACACCTGGACCCTACCTATCGACCCATCAACTCATGAACCGGAAACTCCGAAGGAAGGCGTGATCAGAGATGTTACGCCTCAGAACTTCCCGGCAGCGTTGACTGGGATTGAACCCAGGCCTGCTGGGACGCTTACCACTACACCACGGGCGCCGCTGCTCTCTAGAGTTGTAATCTTGTAACCAAACTTGGAAGCAGGGGATACTATATATATATAAATTCTATTCTAACTCTTTTCTGAAATGAACTTGGTGGCCCTGTAAAGGGCCGTTTTGTTACATTGGTGATAAGTTTTAACCTCCGAAACCATACAGAATGCGTCCCTGTCGCTTCAGAGCGTAGACGACATCCATGGCCGTGACGGGTTTGCGAGGTTACAACTTATCACCAACGTAACAAAACGGCCCTTTTCGAGGCCACCAAGTTCATTTCAGTAAAGAGTTAGAATAGAATTTATATAGAGTAACCCATGATTTATCCATTCAATTTGTCACTAAATACATCAAAATGATTCAAAAATCAAATAATTTGTTAGGGAAATACATTATGTTCTATTTCTAGTCTTATCGGTGGGTTGATTTTTTTCCGTTTCACTTTCATTAACTGAGAAACACTCATCGTATGCATGCTGCGCGACATCTTCGAAAACGTCCCAACCGTAAAAAAAAAATCGTAGTCCTACGTCAACAATGCGGTTGTGTCTTGTACACCACCCTCCAACTTTTTTTTTTGTATGGCTCGTCACAGTTTTCCAACCCCCCCTCTTCCCCTAAATGTGTGACATAATTAATGGACGACCCCTTATTACCAATAGTCAAATTTTATCAATGGCAAATTATGCTTTAGGAAAAACAGTTTGGCTGCTTTTTCGGCACTGAGGCGAAGTCGTAGATTTGTCCAGCGCTGCTAAACAGTTGTTCACTGAGAACGCTAGCTGGAGGTGGGGATAAATAACGTCTTACTAACCCACGAATATGTTCATTTGTCCCAAGTTTAGCCTTCCACAAAGCCAGAGGTAAAAGTTTAGTTAAGAATTCACTCGCCAGGCAGCGCTAGTGTGACATTCATGTTTAATTGATTGTCCTAACACAACATATAGACTAGATAAAAGGATTCCGTCTTCGGTAAAAAATGTTCAGATGGACAAGACCTCCTAAGGTAAAGAGTTTAGTTCAGAATTCACCCATCAGGTGGCGGTATTACGATAATCATTTTGAATTGTTTATCCTGATTTAATATCTTAACTAGATACAAGGTTCCGGTCTTCAGCAAAATTGTTCAGATGAACAAGACCTATTTGATGGTAAAGAGATTAAATCAAAATTCACTCACCAGGCGGTGCTAGCGTGACATATTTTTTTCAATGACGCTTAATACGAGTGTCACTTCACGGTGAAAACGAAGTAAAGTGATCACTTGTGACTCACGGTGAAGTGATTGCCGTGTAAATCAAACGGGAATCACTTCACCGTGAGTGATAAGTTGTTACTTCACCGTGAAGTGACATCGTTAATAACCCAAGTAATAATTCAAGCTGAATTGTAAGAACAAAAGTTGATTATTGGTTGATTTAAGGTGTACGAAGCTGATTAACACCAGGCTGAATATACAGTTGATTAGTAGTGCATGAAGCGAATTGTATCCCCATAATTCAACCTCAGTAAGTTAGCTGATATAAAGACTGAACAAGACTTATTTAAGCTTAATACTACTCCACAAACCAGCAATGCACTACAAATATTCTGATAGCCTGATAGAATAATATGAATTTATTGCACAATATTGTTAAATGTCGTCATTTGCATTTCCGACATTTTAGTTATTCTAAATTCACTGTCTACCTTTCTAATCCCAAACAGCACCAGCAGTAGAGATAATTGACAAGGAAGAGGATCTTTTTAAGAATAGCTCCACCTAGAAGTGGACTGCGACGAAATCGGAAGTATTAACATTAGTATTCCTGTGTTTTGTCTGTTCACCACTTTATATTGCACTTAATTTTCATACCGCATTTCAAAAATAGAATTCAATAATAGCACTAAAATAGCATCGAAATACATCGCGCACTTGTGTCCAGATTGTGTTTACTGCACTTGAAATGAGAGGAATGTTTTACTGTCACAATGTATTGTTTATAATTCGGCATAGCTGTATAATACTCTTCCGGTTGCTATTATTCAACTTAATTTTGACGTGCTTCATGCTAATGATCATACCTTCTGCCTCAAATATGTTTATGTGGTCGAGTGGGTATAGTTGACGCCTGTGAATCAGCGACTGCCGGTTCGAATCCCGAAATGTAAAGGTCATTTTTAGACATATAATAACAATATAAATATGTAAATCCAATTAGTCAGCAACATTCTAAAGCAGTCTCATAAAAAATATAAGATATGGAGCGGTCTACCATTGTATTTTTTTTAATAAAAAATTAAGACTGAACAAGGGTTGGAAAAGACTGTTGGCTAATGCATTGAAAAGCTTATAATTTAGATTGTTGTTAAGCTTTGGGCTGATTAAAATCACCAGATTTAGATGTTTAAAAGCTGAACAAAGGTTAAACTGGTCTTTGTACAACAATTATTCAAACTAAGCCTGAATAAAAATCGTTGAAAGAACACTTGTTAAGCATCAATTTGTTACCTGTGAAGGGCCAATGTTTGTCCTAACTTAACATCTCGACAAGATAGATGGTTCCCGTCGTCGTTAAAGTTTTTCAGATCGACAAGAGCTATCCTAAGGCAAAGAGTTTAGTTTAAAATTAATTCACCAGGCAGCGCTAGTGTGACATTGATTTTGAATTGTTTGCCCTAATTTAACAACAGATGGACTAGATATAAGGTTTTCGTCTTCAGCAAAATGGTTCAGATGGACAAGACCTATATTGAGGTAGAAAAATCAGTACAGAATTCACTCACTGGCCCTTGAGCAATATTAATTTTGAATTGGTTGCCCTAACTAAACAACTAGTAGTATTGTATGTTAAACAGTTTAGCTCAAAATTTACTCATTAGTTCGCAATGTTGATTCACGTTGTTTCGAGATTGTTGGCTTCACTTGACAGCTTACCTAGTTTGAAAGTTTCTATTTTTGGCAAAGTTTTCAGATGATCAAAAACAAGGGTAATCATCATAGCTTAGAATTGACTATCCAGAGATAGCTAGAACTTAAATTGGTTTATATTTTTTGTTTTTATTTGTAATTTTAATAAATTACAATAATTGGTCTCTTCAGCAATCAGATTCAGATAAAAATAATCCATTAGTTGCCATCTCTTTTAAACTTTCGTTTATTTAAAAATATTTTCTCAAAAATAAAATACGGTTCATATCAGTCACTTTTGTTCGTCAAAGTGCAGAAATGAGTATTTGCAACGTTGGTGCAGGATAGTGCAAGTTGGTGTTTAAATGGTTTTTGCTCCAAACCCTTTGTTTTGTAAAAATAACAGTTAAGAGACGGGAAGTCGGATACGAGTTTAAAAAAAAATAGGTGAACAGTTACGTTGCACGAAAAAGACGTAACTCCTATATTGATTGGTGCTTCAAATCTACCCTAAGCTAACTACACAATTGCTGACTTAGCATCACCATACCTACCGATGTTGGTCTAAGGGTCGTTTGCTGTCGTCGTCGTCTTCGCTGTTGTCCGGATGTTTACTACTGATGCAGTCCAAACGTTGTTTGTGGTTCCGTGGTTTCTGGTGGTTCCATGGTTTCTGTCGCTGCAAGTTCTGCTGATGAGGTCTGTTGGATGATTTTGGAATGTTTGTTGGTTCCGAGTCGTTGCCAACTGGGTTCGTCATGGTGGCTTGGTGTGTAACTGCTTTCCCTTCGAAATCGTATCGTCTCGATTTGATTTTCGGTAATGCTATTGTATGATTTGGTTTGTGAACAGCCTGGTTTGGTTTTAGCTGTTGTGGATGTTCCAGATGTGGATATTCCATGTTATTGTAGGAATGATTATTCCTGTTTTTGATGATGATGTAGTTTTCAGTGAGTTGGTTTACTTCTGTCAGTAAAAGGCAGTGCGCGTCCACTTAATAATTTTGAGAAGCAGTTGTCTGTAGAAACGTCTGTGAGGTCTTCTAGATTGCAGATGGTGTTCTGTTCGATTGCGTGACATTTTCCATTGTAGAAAAACGTTGAATTGGGGCCAAGTAGT